GAAACCCAATGGTCGCCCTCTTGTCTCGCCAGGCACCTTTTGCCAGAGGCTCCAGGAGGGACCTTTATCTCCAGCTGCGGTGTAGAGCACATTCTTTACATCTGGTCCCGTTCTGACTGGTCCAAGAGCCACGGCATGTGCAATTTCTTGCTTGATTTGCCTGAAAGCTTGTTGTTGTTCAGGACCCCATTGGAAATTGTTCTTTTTACGGGTCACAAAGTAAAGAGGGCTCACAATCTGACTGTACTCTGGGATGTGCATCCTCCAAAAGCCTATTGCTCCCAGAAAAGCTTGGGTCTCTTTCTTGTTTGTGGGCGGAGCCATTGCTACAATCTTGTTGATTACGTCTGTTGGTATCTGACGTCGTCCATCTTGCCATTTCACCCCTAGGAATTGGATCTCTCGGGCAGGTCCCTTGACCTTGCTCTTCTTGATGGCGAAACCAGCATCGAGGAGAATCTGGATGATCGTCTGTCCTTTTTTGAAAACTTCTTCTGCTGTGTCCCCCCATACAATGATGTCATCGATGTACTGGATGTGTTCGGGAGCCTTACCCTTCTCTAGTGTGACCTGGATCAGTCCATGACAGATGGTTGGACTGTGTTTCCACCCCTGGGGCAGTCGATTCCAGGTGTATTGAACGCCCCTCCAGGTGAAAGCAAACTGTGGCCTGCACTCTACCGCTAAAGGAATGGAGAAAAACGCATTGGCTATGTCGATGGTGGCGTACCACTTTGCTGTCTTAGACTCCAACTCGTATTGGAGCTCCAACATATCTGGCACGGCAGCACTCAACGGTGGCGTAACTTCATTTAAGCCACGATAGTCCACAGTCAGTCTCCACTCTCCATCGGATTTACGCACAGGCCAGATGGGGCTGTTGAAGGGTGAATGGGTTCTGCTGACCACCCCTTGGCTCTCCAACTTTCGGATCATTTTATGGATAGGGATCACAGCATCTCGGTTTGTCCGATACTGTCGTCTGTGTACAGTTGTTGTGGCTATTGGCACTTCTTGATCTTCAACTCGCAGTAATCCTACAATGGAAGGGTCTTCTGAGAGGCCAGGAAGGGCAGACAGTTGCTTGGACTCCTCTTCAATCACCGAGGCTATACCAAAAGCCCACCGGTACCCTTTCGGGTCCTTGAAGTATCCTCTTCTTAGGTAGTCCATACCAAGGATGCAAGGGGCTTCTGGCCCCGTCACAATGGGACGCTTTTCCCATTGATCTCCCGTCAAGCTCATGTCCGCCTCTACTACTGACAATTCTTGAGACCCTCCGGTCACTCCAGAAATAGTAACAGTCTCGGTACTCTTATACTCCGAAGGCATTACAGTACACTGGGCTCCAGTATCTATCAAGGCCTGGTATCTCTGTGGATCCGATGTGCCAGGCCATCGAACCCACACAGCCCAGTAAACTCGATTATCTTCTTGGTCCCTCTCCTTCTCCTGGCAGAAGGCAGGGCCCCTCTACTGGTCTTGATCAGAACATTCGTCGTCAGAGTTTGACTTTGACTTCTTAGACTTTTTGCTGTTGTCGAAGTGGACCTCCATCTTCTCGTGTTTTGGCAATCGCAGTTTCTCTTCTAAGAAGTCTCCGTCTACTACATAGACAACTTTCTTGTCAGTCTTCTTTCGCTTCAGCTCCCTCACTCTAGCTTCAAGCTTAGAAGTGGGTTCACCATCCCACTTCTTCATGTTTTCTCCTTTACTACGAAGGTATGCCCATAGTTGGTTACGTGACCAACGCTTAGAGTTCTCTTTCCTTCGACGCGTGAATGACAGGGACCGTGAGCGAGATCGAGACCAGGATCGAGGTCTAGGCCGAGGTCGTCTTTGCCGGTCCCACCGTGATCTTCCCATTGGCCTTTCTTGGTAATCTCTATACCTTCTGTCCTCTCTGTCTCTAAGGTCATCCTCATATCTGGAATATTCATAATCTCTCTCCATTCTTTCCCTATCGTAGGTGCGTTGGTACAGGGGATTGAAGGAGTCTTCCATATTTTCCTCTATGGTTCTTATCCAAGCACACATAGTGTCCACGCTTGGTTCCTCCATCTTTGGATTATATACGGGTATCAAGCAAGAAATATATGGTTTAGGGGCACCTTGAATTACCTTTTTCCACATTGGTTGCGTGCAGGGAACATTCTCAGGAACTTGGACGTCATAATAATCTGGATCAGAATAGATGATCTCCAGCATGGCCAATTCCCGTAGGTATTGGATGCCTTCTTCTGCGGTCCTCCACCTTCTTGAAGAACTCTTCAGGGACTCCTTAAATGGGTATTTCACTCTCACCGCGTGGAGGATTCGGAGCCAAAGGCTGGATGCCATTTTCTCCCTCCCCATTTCTTGTTCTATCACAGGGTCTCGAGCAATGGATCCCAATTGTCGTGCTTCATCACCTTCAATTACATGACTATCAGCTCCCTTGTCCCAGCATCGCACCAGCCAGGTGAGGACTTCTTCACCAGGCAAGCGCATATAATCTCTCCGTAAATCTCGAAGCTCTCTTGTGGTCAGTGATTGTGTAATTTCGCTTTCTCGCATTATTTCTTGTCCATCTCTCCCACGTAGAATCTTTTCCACCTCTCTCTTTACTCTTCCACTCCTACGTGGGACTGCTCCCGCTTCCTCCCTATATCTCTCATGTGGAGGTAGAGACTGGGCATGCCGTGGGGATAAGCTTCTATATTGTTCACGCTGTGGAGATGGATTTCTACGCCGTTCATACCGTGGGGATGGACTCCTACGCCGTTCACGCCGCGGAGATGGACTTCTGCGCCGTTCACGCCGCGGAGATGGACTTCTATGCCATTCATGCCATGGGGATGGACTCCTGCGTCGTTCGCGATACCCCGCGGGTGGAGGTAGTGAGTAATCTTTCGCGTGCTGAGATAAGGGCCTCCTCCTCCAGTCATTCACACCTCCAAGCGAAGGTTGGGTCTGGAGGGGTAGGGATAATTCCCGCTCCAATTGAGGGGGATGCTTTGGCTCCTTCTTTGCGTCTTTTGTAACACTGAATGTGTAGTCAGGATATAAATCATCAAGCGACAATATACCACCGGCCATTTGTACTGTTGCTTTCTTTTCTCTTGATGCTATTCTGTATTCCTTTGGGCGTGCCCCTAGTTCCTTTGGACGTGCTCCTTCCCGTGTAGCCGTTTCTTTCTCTCTGGTAGCTACTTCTTCTCTTCCAATCGCTCCTTCCTCAGTCACAACCACTTCTTCCTCTCTCGCAGTCGCGCCTTCATCACTTGCTGTTGCTCCTTCTCCCATTGCTGCCGCTCCTTCATCTACTACATCCTCTGTTCCTTCTTCTTCTTCTTCTTCTTCTTCCCTTTCTTCTGTGCGTTCTGGTTGCGGAGATGGATCCGTAAGTTCCTTGATCTCCCTTACCCACGTCTTCTTCTTCTCCATAGGGGCAATGATGACCTTCCGGTTCTTAGCTTGAGTCCCGGTTCTAGTGGACTTAGTAGAAATGGCATTGACTTCAAGTTGTGTTTGGACCCCAACATCTGTAGACCTAATAGGGACATCACTGGGTTCAAGTGGCATGGTTTGGGTCTCTGTGTCGACCTTAACCCTTTGAAGGTGGTCTATGGTAGCTCGATAAGCATTAGCCAGGCCCCAGCACAAAGCGGAGAATTGCATATTTGGATCTTTGTAGGAAAAACACCCTTCTGCCAAACAGTGGGCCATCTCACCAGAATCAAACATTTGTTCTGGTGTGAACTCCCAGTTAATGGGGGGTGACACATGTCCTACTAATCTACCGAAATCTCCCCAAGCTCCATGCCACCCGGGGACTGGCCTGTCTGCAGCCCTTTCCAAAGTTCCAGCGAGTCCCTTTGAGGTGTGATCTTTCCTACAAGAGGGAAAGCAACGGAACCCCATTCTTCCAAGTTTAAGGAGCACTTCCAGTACCTTTATCAATGACAGTACTGTTGCAATAAGATTTATATAGTAATTAGAGCCGATTTTAACCATGGGGATCTCCTTTACCAAACCTTCGATGTCAAAATTAAAGGATGGAAGCAATTCGTTCCATCCATCCTCAAGGTCTGGACGTCTCCCTATAGAGTAGCCTAACACAGGTGTAAAGATGGCTAGAATTATAAGACAAATTAATGAAATAGCCATTGTTTTTGTTATTATTTCTTCTTGTTCTTAAAACAACCCTTTGTTTATATAAACAAAGCTTCCTTGGCTGCTTTCCCAGACCTGTTCCCAAAACAATAGATTGGTTGCAAAACAACACCGAGCTTGGCTGTCTTCCCGGAAAATGTTTATCAAAACAAGCCAAACTTAACCAAAATATCCCACTTCTGACACCAAGAATGTTGTGCAAGTTTCGAGCTGGCTTCCCGCCAAGTCCCCCGAAACTCGACAACGAGGACCCGCCTCCCAGAGAGGGAAAAGAGAAAACAGAAACAAGCAGCCAAAGCTATAGCAAAAATATGTATATATATATATATATATATGTTTTATATATGAGACAGATACACAAAAGGAGAATACCACACACCGGGGGGGGGGGAAGGGGGGGAAGGGAAGGGAGAAGGACAAAAAGGGGCAAGGACCGCACAAGTCAAACAACCAGCCGAAGGCAAATTAGCAAAAATCTCACCACTTCCCTTTGAACAGGCAGGATGGCTAGACACGGCCCTTGGCTCTCCCCTCACGGGTGGCAGATAACAGCAGTCACTGTAGGCCTCGGCTCCAGATAAGCCCGACCGAAACAGGGACCCACCGTTCTCGAACCTCGCCGGAAAGGAAGAGAGCGAACTATCTTATCCATGCCTTATTTATACCCTAGGTTACGTAAAGGAATAGCATGGAATACTTCCTTGGTCACCTTCCTAGTTCCTTCCTGGTTACAAGCTGGTTTCCAGGAAGGCCTAGACTGAAACCACCACAACCATGAAAACTCCTGCTGCTTCAGACAACCTTGAAAAGGAAGCAGCATGCCATTTGCTCATGGTGATGCACACAAAACAATGGATTGGCTCCAGAAATACCAAGCTACTTCCAAGCAGTTTGATATAGGCACATGCTTCTAACTTTTCCTTTCACAATTAGACAAGATACCATTTCTTGCCATTACCATCTGGTCATGTTTCAGAACTGGCCATTTTCCACTCTCTGCAGGAAACCCAGCCCAAGCACAGTCTTTGATAGATTCTCAGTAAATTTCTATGTGCATAGTTAGAGACACAGAATGAGAACTTCTGGTTTTCAGAGTAGCAGCACATTCTAGAACTTTCAGTTCTCAAAAAATCTGAAATATTTTCAGTTTCCTGACCATTACAAGAGACTAAGTTTTTTTTAAAAAACAAACAAACAAACAAAGAGCAGATATCACAGAATTATTCAACAAATGTCTAAAAAGTCATTTATTGAACACACGTGGTACCAACGGTTCAGCTGAAACACATTAAGTGTTGTGAGTTTTAAATATACCTGCTATGTCATGTATTATCCCAACTCCTTAAAGAAACAAGGATAAGGCCTTTTGCTCAGAAGGGGACCTCAAGGCTTGCACAGTGCAGGCTTTCCTGCAGCAATGAGGAAGTCAGACACTCATGGAGAAGTAACAAGAACAGAAAGACTAGGAAAATTCTGATGATAGAAACAGATTTTTAATATATCAACTGCAGTTTCAATTTTTAAAAATGGACCTCATAGCTGCTTCTTCATATAACATTCATGTGGACTGTGACTATTTAATTGTGTACCACCATCACCATAACATTTACTTCTCGTATCTAATGAAGGCTAACACAACAAATTGGGTCACTGTCAAAAATCCAGAACAGAGATAAAGCTGCACAGAGTTTTTCTTTTAAGGTGTAATTTAAGGAAGGAATGACTATTTCTTACATCTCAAAGAAAACATTTAGTTTGTAATATAAAGACTTTGTGCAAGAAACATCACAATTCAGAATTACCTTCTCAATATTATTTTAATAGGCGCTTCTTAACTCCCCTTTGCTGCAGAATTGTTCGAAGTTAACGGCAATAAATACACTTAAGAATAAGATACCTTTTTCCTGAATGGCATTTGATAGCGCACTTTTTTCCAGAATCTTGTATTTGCTGAACATGATTTTTCCGAGAAGTCACCTTTCCATTGGATAGCTCCATGTTTTTGCTTAATGTATCTGATTGATTCTGGCATGCTTGTGTAGTCCTGTATTTCATCCATTTCTATAAGAATCACTTGAATCCCATCACGGATGAGTGCATTATACATAGCTAGCTGTTGTTCAGAGGTGTCTTCTAGCAGGCAGCAACTAGATGTTTCTGATCCCAAAATAATCATCAGTCTTCTGCTTTGCTTAAGGGTTTCATCAGCAACGCTGACTACAGCTGTAAGTAATAAAGGAATGATCAAAGTTTCCATAGAAACTTTACAACTGATGTAATATACTTCTTAGTTTTAAAATTACACATATGTGAAGCTCAGAGGACTGGTAGGTTTAAGATCTTCACGCTGTCATTCATGATTCATGATCCACTGTATGACATAGCTGACAAAAAATTAGTTTTCTTCAACACCCAGTAGGAGATATCATTGAAAAAACCTCAACAATATTATTAATGCTGTTGAATCCTAATTTGTTCATCAATAAAAAGAAAGTGCAGACCCTCATAACACTGAAACAAAAATTTTCAGTAAGGAAAAAAAAAGAAAAAGAAATAAATTGTCTATTGGACAGATTATCCATTAAAAAATAAACAAATACAGCTTTCTTTTCAAAAGATATAGGTTTTCATTGCATAGATAAACTTCGAACCTGAGAACAATGTCCCAAAAGACAACTTTAACTCTACTAATTAAAGCATACCTTCTCCAGGTAAATCATCTCTTCCAAATATGAAGAGATTATATCCACATTGTTTTTCTAAAACATCTGGGAGTATTCTACGAACAAAGGTCTCCAGACAATAGAAACTTTTGCCTTCACTGCTTTTTGCATGCAGGACATATGCATCGTAAGTTTTCCCATCTAAAACAAACACAAACATTTCTATTAAAAAACTAAAACTGAAATGCCTTTATTGCAAAGTTCCATTTTGGTGTGTTTAAAAATAATAATGGGGGGCTGATTTCACCTATCTGACAGAATAACTTCAAATTACTAAAATGCTCTACAAATCAAAAGAAAGATGATCAGAATCTGACTTCCTTTCCAATCATGGGAAGGGAAGAGACAGAAGGGGAGCTGGATGCCAGTCCTGGGGCCTGCAGGAAGGAGCTCCCAACCCCAGAGGTGTGAGGACATTAAAAAATGCCCTCTTACAGGACTTTCTTCACCACGTCTCCTAAAGCAATTTCAACAGCAGTTATCTCCACTTCTGACTAACCATAAGAGAGGATGGAAAAATGACAATTTTTTTCTTGTAATAATTCTGTGGGGAAAAGGCACATAGAAGAAAAGGTGAGAAGGCAGCTGAAGTCTTGAGACTTAAAACTGCATAGTAAGGAGGACTGAAGTAAACAAACCAAAATCAGATTTAACTCATCAAGTTACTTTTTTTTTTTTTAAATTAGAACTCCATTTAAGTGTTCCAGAAAAACTGAACTTTTGACCAGAAGTTGAAATTACTTTTCTGTGAAAACATTTAGGACAGCCATGAGTAAACATTAACTACATCAGTGTATGTAATTCACTTTTAAGCTATGGGGAACTCCAGACAGACTAATTCTGAGCACTAATACAAAAAATACCTATGATGTTGTGCTTATTTCAAATTTTTCATACCTTAGTGTATTTGTCTACAGTACAGCAAACAAAAACATATAAGAAGAATCACAGAATTAGAAGAACACAGAACTAGTAGCAAATTTTCTCTTTGGCACGTAAACATCATAACTTACAGGATTTAGAAGGAAAGTGTGGGTAAAAGGGAGAAATTGCAAAACAAAACAAAAAAAACCCAACAAAATTAATCTCTGAGAAACTAGTCTGATTTTCAAAGTAGATATTTAATGCACATCTTTAAACAGTTAGTTTACAGGATGTAGCTCTGCTGACACCTATTGTTCATCATCAGAGTGACCATGTAGCTACATGTAAAGAAACTACAGAAAAGCAAAAAAAAAAAAACATGCTAATTTGGGAATGGCGTGTAATTCTTTTTGGCCTATCTCACCATGACTGTCTCCAATATTACAGCTATTACCTCAAGCATTATATATTTTACCCATATGACTGAAAAAATGCCCCCCAAAAATGTCTTTGTGTGTATCTGAAAATTCCTCATGAAAGGTCCACATACATTCTACAAAATAATCCCATTTTTGCTCAGAAGCAATGGCAAGTGAAAAAAATCAGTAGGATAATGACACTCACATACCTGGTCACATTCACATACCTTCCTTACTTGTAAGGGCACAGACAGAATTACGGTACCAAAGCACCAGATCAATCTTGAAAGTCTTGTAGATTATTAAAATAATAAATGCTAAAATTAACAAAGAGACAAGCCCTCCAGTCAGCCATCTTTGTATGTCAGGAACTGCACAAAAATATAAGGATATTGCTTTTTAAATGTTGAATTTGTCCAAACCTGATCTTTCACACAAATGCAATACAAATTTGAATATTATTCATTTATTTTATTCATATTTATTATTCATATTATGATATTAATATTATTCACATTATTTTTCATTTCTGTTTACCTGGGTTTTTAAATAATGATAAATACACTACTACAGTGATTCTTTCCCTATGCACAGGCACACGCATGTGTACTGCAAACTGTAATGCACCTGTCTTCTATTGAAATGATACACAAGAATTTGGTATCAAAACACCTTCTGGGGAAGTAAACACAATCACAGGCCTCAAAGATAAATATTTCTTACCTCTGTGCTTTAATATAATATAAGATGCAACCTGCCCAAAGGCATTTGAAGCTTGACAGACAAATGGTTGTTCATAATCTTCACTAGTCACTTCTGAAATTATTAGCTTCACAGAATGCATAGGGCGTCCATCGTTAGAGGTTTCTTCCCTGTCAAAAAGGTGACAAATAGAACCATAAACCACAGCCCTTTCTGGAATGGCTTCATCTCTAATATCCGCAGCACAACAATGATTATTTCCTTCTGCAAACGTCAACCACGCTTCACAACAGATGAGCAATTGCATTACATGAAAGGAACCCGAACAGTCGGACATTCATACTGACATTTAGCACACGTGTTGGAAAACATCAAGACACCAAGACATTACCTTATCTGGAGCTGGGTTTCCCCAAAGGAATATAAGCTTTCTATAGTTTAAAGGACAAAAATATACCTTATAAACCTAAGCAAACCATTGTTATAGACTTCTCTACCCCTGTAAGAGTAGATGGACAGAGAGATTCCACAGTGGGATATGACACAGAAAGAGGCCCTGGAACAAGGCATCACCTTGTGGTCAGCAGCTCTGGGACAAGGAGGACATCAAAGGTGGTGACATGCAGCAGACACCACCAATTCACAGTGTGATTCCAGCTACAGGGACTGGAGTCTAAACGGTGCTTCATCTCATGGATCAGAACAGACTTGTAACAGCTGGTTGTGTCAGGTTGCACCATTAAGAGACCCAGATTATCCCCCATACATTGTACAAGGGCATAAAACCACTCATACTAACTTTCAGTTAATTGTGTACTGTGATGTGTGACTGATGTGTGAACTAAACAAACTTTTAACCACCAGCAAAATGTGGGATACCACTACCTTGTTAATCGTAGACCTCAAATGTAAAATTAACTAACAAGTCCACTTTCTTTCCTGAAAACATAGTCTAGTTATCATTTAAAATGCAAAATAAAACATACCATAAAGGGCATATAAAGGACCACATGAATCACTTTCTAAGCAAAATGTTACAGTAATTTGAACACTGTAACAGGAATGAATAAATCAACATCACTAATGCAAAATACTAATGGTTGCAAAGATGACCATTTAAGCTCTAGGAAGTAAAAAAATAACATTGCTTTTACAATATCAATTCAGTAACCATGTGCTTCTGCAGTATGACCCAATTTTTTATGGCATTACAATTCTTTATGACAGTATAATATATTACTTTTATGCAGTGTTTTCTCCCTGTGAGCACCCAAATAATTCAGCCCTTTATTTCTCCCTTTGTTTTATGATGACTACTTTTTTCTCACAACTATATTCTTACTTTGAAGATATCATTCTCATTCCTTCATCAGTTTCTTGGTCATAGATAGTGCTTGAGAATTTACAAAAATTACCACATTTTTTTATTCGCAGAACCACCATGAGATAAGGGCTGATAAAAAACCTGCAGTTTTTAATTCCCAACCTCTAATATCTAAGAAAACTTCAGATTGCCTCTTGCTCCAATTTAAGTTGCTTTTCCAGTCAGGTATAATTTCTTCTCTCCTAACTAACTCCATTTAACCTGCTTTTCACCATCACGTTGTCTCTCTCTTGCCCTTCTCGTGCTTTGCTTGGTTCAAGTCCTCCCAAAACCCAACTCATCACTGGAAATTTGTCTTCCTTTTCTCACCCATCTAAGCTTCAGTACAAATGCCCCCAATGAAGTCTTCCATTAGCTCTTCAGCTGATTTCTGTTATATCTCTCTAACTCAAGGCTCTTAAACCTGGAAATCTCAATTTCTCCTGTAAAGCACAGGTTTGTCCTCTTGTGACCTTTCACAGAGGCAGATATGAAGGGAAAGGAGAACACAGAAAAAAGAGAGAGTCTGGAGATAATGTACCTGGACATGCCTGATCCAACCAAAAGAGGTCTCTGCCAGGTCAGAGCTTGCATTACTGTATTACAAGTATGAGATTGTAACAAAACACTTTTTTCCAAGTTTGGAAATTAAGACAGATTTTTTACAATGACCAAAAAAAGCACAATCTCATGTGAAGTCCATGTGCCTCCTATGTTTCAAGTTTTTATTTCAAAGCAGGAAGTGAATTGGGGAAGGCAAGCATTAGAGTTTTTAAAAAGAATGCTATTTAAAGCAAGGGGGAAATGTTGATTAATATTTTAGTGCCAAAGGGAGAAAGTTCCACTTTGGTTGCCAACACAGTATTTTCTGGTCTGAAAATATACTTACTCATAGGGACTTGCAAAAATTCTGCTCATGTAAAATACATCAATATACACACCGTTGCCCGTCCAAAACACTTCATACCCATCAGCACCTGTTGTATTGCAATCCACTGTAACCTGTGAGCCTATAAAATTGTGTTACAAAATAAAGAGTTAATTTCCATAGCCTAATTAAAGTCTCTACAAATCTCTATTTGTATATCAGTGTGGGAATTGTTCACTGATTCCCACACAGACCAGCTAAGGATGGTAACAGAAAAGTTACTCTAACAGAGGGTCTATATAGTCAGTGATCTGCAGATCCAGAAAGAGAATGGTAGGATGGAAAAGGCTGAATCCAGGAAGATGTCTCTCCCTGGGGCATCACTTTGTCTGAAGATTTGAGATGGATCTGTTCTTAGAATCTCTTCCAGAGTCATGGAAAGCAACAGATGTGACAGATAATCACTTGGGTTCTCTACAATTTTCTTGGCATCTGAGAAATTTCCCTAGGACTTTGTAAGCAACACACCTCGTTTGTTTCCCTCTCACCCCTCAACATTCCTCCTTTGGGAGATCAACAAAGAGAAATTGAGCTGGTTACTGAACTAGTTTTTTGGGGCTTTTTCTAAAAGACAAAAGAAAGAAAACACATAATAGGGCACTCCTTGAGTATAAATTTTCACTATTATACAAATTCATACTTTCTCATACAGAAAACTACTTACCAAGTTCCACTTCAATAGAGTTGTTTCTTGGGTAAGATATTTCTGGAGGTTTTTTTGGTTGGCTCACTAACCAAAAGAAAAAAAGTGCTTTTCAGAAAACCTTTAGGGCAGTTACAGTCTGTTCTACAGACTGGGTTGTCAGCAATTTTATGACAAACATCACTCAGTACTTAAAGTATCATATCTCAGGTAGTCATTACTTCTGACTTGAAGCTAAGCTGTTCTTCACTCTGTCTCTTCCAAAATGTAATGCCTCAAATCTCCACACACTCATGGTGGACTGGCTATTCCATGCCACAAAAATTCTGTAGTATTGCATGCACAGGTGCTGAGAAGAGTATGGGCAAATATCTGCTGCTCTACAGTCTGGATAGTCTGTCACCCAGCATCCCACAGATACAAACTGGAGCCAAGAACTTGTAGACCGCAGTTCATCTATTTTAGACTTCTACTATTCTAAGGGGGAAATTTAATTTTTGTACTCCAGTGAAAGGCCTTAAATTTCTTCCCACAGCCTTATCTATAAGGTAGAACAATACCAGTGACCCCTTTTAGATGTTTACAATTAAGACTACATATATGACACTCTCCAAGTGTACAGATTAACAAACATAAATCATAAAGCACCTCATTTGAGTCCCCTAGCAAAGTACACCATTGTCCCAAATATATCCTTCCCTTCCATTCTGAAAACGGGGTCTGCATTATTGTTTGAATTATATTTTAGTATAAACTTGCTCAGCTGGAGTCTTCAAAAACTACCGAGCTACCTTCAGTCACATATGGCAAAGGAGTGATATGATTTTATTTCTACTCAGTCGTAGAAGCCGAAATTCCACTAAGAGAGAAGTTCTAGGACCAGCTTTTAAGACCAGAATGATCATTTCATTTGATCCAACCTTATGTTCCTCAGATTTTGTTTATTCATATCACACAGACATATAAATATGATACATATTCCCACCATATGTTCACACACACTTATATACGTATATACGCACACAGACAAAACAGGCAAGCACAAAAAGAGACCATTAAATGGTAATACAATATATTAGTAAACCTTAAAATGTCTTTCATTAGCTGAAATATAAAAACAGTACTTGTATTGCTTGCCTTGGTATAGCACAGTCTTTTCAGTGATCCATTGCCAATCTCATGATGCTGTGCTAGCAAAGGATTTCATATCTTACACCTACACCATCTTTTATATTTTTTTGTTGTGCTGGTGACCCCCGACATAAATTGGGGTTTACTGAGCTACACATACAATATCAGAGATGAGACGTTCTTGTGCTGAGCAGCTTAAAACCAAAAGCAAAAGAGACAAAGGTTTGAAGGAAACAGATAGAACACACAGAGTAAAGACTCTGCCATTATTTGGGCTGGTTTAGTTCATTGCTCTTGCATTAAGAGAATAATGTAAAAGACAAAGAAGTAAGATGGGCAGGATAGAGGCTGCAGTAGAAAATATTGCACCACCAAGCCTTACAGGGCATCTGTTTAGGGACTTTGCCAGCTGGTCTGGGCAGCAGAGCTTTGATATACTGCAACTTTGACAGGAGAATGAATCTTCAACATGGTATCAACAACAGACAAAGTATAAATACCCTCAGTCAGCATTTATTTCCCTCACATTTAGGTGAAAACCAGTAGCCCTAAGCATGTCTATCCACAGATTAGGTCTTTCTGCTTTAGTCTATGAACACAAACACAGTTAAATTATTTACTTACCTTCTACAATCAGACTGACATCTCGTGAAATGTTATATTGTTTTCCATTGTAGTTACATGTTGTTTCACATGTATAGTTTCCTTGATCATGTACAGTCACATTGAAAATTATAAGATCACTGTTTGAGAAGGCAAATCTTTTCCCTTCCAGCAGCTGGCAGTCCTAAAAATGTATAGAGAACTCTGTTAATTCATATCACTGTATATTTCCATGATTTGTCTCTCTTTAATACAATCTGAAGTTTCAGTGGACCACAGCATTGGGATGGATGCCTTGCAGAGGAAGGGCAAGGGCAGTGGAATAAAAAGCACTGGCTGCTTCATTTCAGCTGAGTTTTTAATTCAAAGACACCCCAGTTCATTTCCTTTGGAAAACAACTTTCAATATTAGAGAAATAAGAAAGTAAAATGCAAGCGTCAGGATTTGTAGAAGTATTCATCCATTAAGAATCACTCAATAATTACACTTAATTTTTTAAGGAACCTAAATACTACTGGTATCATTTGGACTGCATGGGCCTGAGGCAGGAATTCCACAGAAGGCACTACATTCTTGTAACAGAAAGAGCCTTTAAATGGCTGTGAACCACATGAAATATAACAATTTAATAGAACAATATTGAGCACATAATGGATATCTCACACTAAATCTGTTTCCAATAAACTTACGAGTGTGTTTCGCTGGCAGGTAATCAAATGCCCCCTGGTGGATACGTGGGTCAACGGCGCTCCTACATCTAAGCAGAATTTCTACCCCCTTAATAAAAAAACCCGATGCACCTTTAAAGATAAAAAGTCTTAATCCTCTTGCAGTTTTTTTTAAATAATTTTATCTCCCTTTTACAATAAATCTTTAGTTTTTCTGCTCCAATTTTCGAAGATCAGTGATTTTTATTTTAAATAACGGACAGCTATGAGGCAGTACAAATCACCACATTCTCACCTTGTACCAACGAACAGGCTGAATATCCTTCTCATTCCTGAAATAATCCAAGTGTGGACACACAACCTTTGCAGATGATGATGTGAATATCACCTCCTCTACAGCAAATTTTTCATTTAAGCATAAACCATCAATCTTCTCAAAAACTGTTACTTTTGTACACATTTTCTTCCAGCTTGTCAAATTCCTGCAATTAACAGAACATAATTAAATTAACCTATTTGGCACATTCTGCAACTCAAAAATATACAGCATTATTTTTGGAGAAGAAAGAGAAGACCAGAACTTTAGAGTTTCTTTAATAGATTTATTTTTGCCTATAAGGAAGGAGAACCCAAAACTAGACTTAATTTCCCCAGTCTAAGTTAGTTTTTGTGAATGCACTATCTCTTCTTTATTAGTATTTCTCTTACTCTCAAAATTTGACTTGCTTTCTAAAAGTTACTCACTTTGAAACTCATTTCTGTAAAAATGTAATTTTTTTTTTAATTTTCACCTTATGACACATTCATAGTCTCCAGAATCTTCTAACATTGCAGGAAGAAACCAAATTAAATTCTTCTGCTGATGCACTCTAGACAGTTTGTCTCTAGGCACAGCTGTCTGGTTACCAACTTTATACCACGTTAAGTTGTAGCTCCCACTTTTCAAGCTCTTTTCCGGTGAACAGTTAACAGCAAGAGGCTGCCCGTCAGGCACAAGAATTTGCCCTGACATTGCATTGTAGGTTTCACATTTCTCTAAAAGAAAGAGATAAATATTAAAGAAAAACTCAAACACTCTACAAGAACATACTGAACTTATTTCCCGATTACATTTATGAAGTTAATTGGAGTTTTCACCTCCATTCTCAAGTCAACTACTAAAATACAATTTTAATTCCTTATCTTTACAACTGAGAGTATACAACTGTATACCCAGTGGTATACAGATACAGTTGTGTCACTGAAATGAAATACTGTTTTTTGAATGCAAAATTTACACTCAGTAGAATGTCTGTTCGCAGCAGACTTGCATGTTTAACTTCAGATGCAAACTACTAAAGTACATGTTTTTCCCCAGTCTGTTTCATGTGCATATAAACAAACACGCACATGCACACAAATTTCACATTTAAGGTCTTTATTTTTAACTTCACTTAACTGTAGTCAAAGTAATTCTTCAAAACAGACTATGCTTTTGATAGCCAAATGTCCTAAGAGGACAATGAAGTTAGAGATCGTGTTGCACAAACATTAGGTTTACAACGGAAATTTCAACTCACCCTTCATTTTATGAATTTTAAAGAGGAATTACTGCAATCACCAGTGAGCTCATTTTCTTTTCTTCTGACACAAACAGATTCATACAGGAAAAGAGCAATACCATGAGTTCGGCTTAGGGTTTTTTGGAGTTTCTTTTTGCAATATGACAAAAAGGGGGCCAACTCTGGATACCATGGTCCCATTTCTGAGTCTGTATTATATTTACTTAAATTTCCTTGCTTTGTTAGAATATAAGAACTGCCACAGAGTCATGCAGGCATCTGTCTAGCCCAAAATCCTGGCACTGATAACAACCAGTGCCAAATGTGCAAGAGTGGAGAATACAACAAATACAGTAATACTTTGTTTTCAGCCCCTTTCTCTCCTCTTATGTTCTGCATTAAAAACCATTCACTGGCTTTTATAATTTCTCTGGGTATCATGCGTTTCTTGTTATGAGGAATGGTAATTTTTCTCTCATCTGCCTAGTCTATGGTATTTACAATTTTATAGATCTTCATCCCATCTTGCCTCAGTTGTTTCTTTACCTCAGAGTTTCTTTTCTTTACCTCCTTCACTTAGTGACTTCTCATATGAAAGCCATCCCATGTCAGATGACACTGTCACTCATCTCTCTACCTTTTCTGAAATGATCTTTCTGAGATGGAATGATCAGAACTGAAGGGTTCAACAGGTACACATATACCATGGGGTAACAGAGTAGCATAATGAAGCTTTCTGCTTTCTACTCTGCTGCTTTCCAAAAATTCTGCTTTTCTGCTCACCACTGATGACAATTAATGATTCCAAAGAGCATCCAGAGACATCAAAGCAGCATTTTCCCAGGTGGTTATCAATTAACTTTATGCTCACATCACACACATACAGTACACATGCTTCTGCTACAGGTGCGTGACCCTTCCATGCCTCTTCACATCCAACTTGATTTACTTATCTATTTTAGTGACATTCTATCACTAAAATATTTGATATCCAGACACCCTCTTCATAGCGAACATCAGTTTTAACCATCAAAGCATAATTTTGTGTCATCCACAGTTTGCATCACCTCACCATAAATCTTTTCCAAATTACTTATCCAAACCTTGAATTACTCAGATATCTGTATCAAATGCCCCACAATAACTGTGATGGTTATGAAATGCTGTGGCCACAAGAACTGATAACACTTTTCTGCCACTAAATGCTAATAGTCTGGAATAGTGTCTCTAGCACATGCTAGAGACCATTCAGCTGGAAAGCAGATCTTCAGAGAACATTTGGGTCTTGGTGGACCACAAACTGATCATGAGCCACCAATGCTCCCTCTCATGGCAAAAAAAGGCTAAGTGTCCTGGAGTGCATTAGGACCTGCTAGATTTGAACTAACTGGAGAGAGTCCAGAACATAGCCACAAAAGTGACTAAGGGAAAGGAGCATCTCTCACTTGAGGAGAGAATGAAAGTGCAGGGACTCTTCAGCCTAGAGAAGAGAAGGTTTGAAGAGTGTTAGCCACCAGTGTGCTTGTAACAAATGTGGATAGAGCCTTTCCGAAATCTTCGTTTGCGAAGCCTAGCCATGATGAAATGGATCTTATCAATGTGTGTAAATACCTGATGGGAGGGAACGAAGAACAAAGAGACAGACTTTGCCAGCACTGCCCACTGAGAGGACAAGAGGCAATGAGAACAAACTGAAACACAAAACATTCAATCTGAACACAAGAAAAGACTTTTTTATTGTAAGGGTGATCAAACACTGGAACAAGTTGCCCAAAGAGGTCATGGAGTCTCCATTTGCAGAGATATTCAAAATCTAGCTGGACACAGTACTGGGCAACCTGCTCTAGCTGACCTTGGGGTATTGTCAGTGAGGTTGGACTACATGATCTCAAGAGTTCCTTTCCAACCTAAATGATTCTGTGATAAGATACTTCATGAAATAACACATATGTTTTAGAGGTCTCCACTCTTGGAACTGTTTAAAAGAACTCACTGGTATGCATGTAGATTTTACTTATACAGCCATTTTTACAGAAAGTTTATTACTTGAGTGAAAAAAAATAAGTTTCAGAACAAAACCTTCCATAGCCAATAAACTTACTTGCAATAATTAAAGACAGAAATGCTGTTGCAATATTACATGAAAACAGTGGTTTTGCTGTCATGTTTCCCTACAGAAATGGAAAGAAAACTTTCAATTAGTGGCTTCCAATATAAACTTCCACAATTTAAAATCAAATTTAATACAGGAATTACACAGTTAATTCAGGACACATGAAATACAGGAATTGTCTTTGACTTGTATTGAGCCTCTTACCTGCTTGTTTTACCTGACATCTCCTAATTATTACACGAGAAGAAAAAAGTGAGTAAATATTTCCTATTCAGCTTGTTAAGCACTCAAGGTTTTTTACATCTCTAGCACACTCCTTCCCACTTCTTGCTTTCCCAAGCTACACTGTTAGATTCTCTAACTGTCCCTGAGATGGAATCTGATTTCATATTTCTGAATACCTTTGCCACCCACTTCTGTACTGCCTCCAGTTATGCTACAGCCTGTCTGAAATGGGGAGGAGAGGACAGAACTTGCATACAGTCTTCAAAACATAGGTGCACTATGGATTTATAAGCTAAAACAATTATTGGGGTTTTTTTGATTTTTCCTAATAATTTCTAACCACTTCTTTGTTCTTTGAGGACTACTGACTATTGACCTGATATTTCCATGGGCCTATGAAGTGAAATTCCAAGACCTCGTCACTGAGTGCTAAGAATCAGATAAACCCAGTCAGCTGCTGAGCATGTGATGTTAGGATTTTGGCCATATGTTTTCATTTTAAATTTTCTTTATAGTTACCAAAAAAAAATTTCTTATGCTATTATTACCCAGCCATTCACTATCGTGACATCTTTCTGCCACTCTTTGCAATTTACACCTTCATGTTCTAGCCTGAATAGCTTTGTATTGTTGGCAAATTCTGCCACTGCAACAGTTTCCCTCTGTCTGGATCATTAAAAATACATGCTGAGCAGAAGATGCATTTGGGACTCCAGTGGTGATCTTCCTTCACTGGAAAATCTAAGCATTTATGTTTTACCTGCTTATTTATACAGTTGAGAATGATTATCAGGACTCTTTAGTAGTCTTCTGATCCATACTGTGATTGGAGAAGGATCTGTTAGTTGCATGCCTGTGTCAAGCTGTTCCTTAACTTGATCTGCCTTACTGTTTTTTTTCTATTCAGCCTACCACAGTGTTTTACAGCACTGTGAGAGGACAAATGCAACTGTTCAAACTAAAGGATGAGCAGGAGAACCCCATCCTGTTGTGAAGCATCTTTAGCTGATCACCATTTTCTACAATAGTAAAAGATGACACTTCCAGCTGTTGTGTCTTACTTCACCAAGCTGACTCAGAAGCGTGCCATACATTGAGTCATCCACACTGCTTCTTGCAGTGCCTGCTTGCTTTCTTCTCCTTTCTCTTTCCTCCTCCCTCATTGCAAATTTTCACTCAGATCACCAGGCATGTCTTTTCTTGCCTAGCTGTTAAAAGGAATGAGTCCCACAAGAATGATGAGCATAGAAATACATGAAACATTAAAATCACTGAAGGCAGGTTATGTATGTTTGTACAAAGCCTACAACTTTCTTCACTAATTGTGACAGACAGTAACTCTAAAAAATCTACAGTTTTTATTTTTGAAAAGATGAAAATATTATAATGGAAACAATTTAAAGATGACCAGGTAATTCCTTTATGACTTCTCTGAAATACTGTTTTTTCATAAATTCTGTTCTATTACAACATTACCTTACTCTAGTGTTCTGTCTCACATGAGCTCTCTTTTTGCCCTAGCAGTAGATTCAGCAGAGGCAGCAGTAGTATTTCGCCACATTCGGAAAGAAAGTTCCAGCATCCTGCTTCTCTATAATTTCTGTGTTCTTTCTAGCTGTTTATATTTATAACTTGCCCTTTTGTCAACATGGAGGACTTGCAAATATATATAGCCTTGTTTAAAACCATGCACACAAACTGCTTTGAGGAGACTCCTTCTTGTCTCCTACTTTTCACAGTGAGAAACTTCCCTTTCTGTGGAAGGTAGACACAACAGTAAAATTAGGCTCTGGTCTGTCCATGCATTCACATAATTAATGATGAAAATAACAAACGTATGACTGCAGAGTCAAGTGTAAATGTTTTTCCTACCACATTCGGCCATGATAAACAGGTAAATTTTTCCCTTTTTCCAGTCATTTTGTCCACATCTTGAGCTTGCAACCAGCCTGTGGAGTTTGCCCACTCATGACAAAATTCAGCTAGAGTTATCTTTGCCCAAATTTTCTGGAGGGGAAAAAAAATCCCAGGTATCTGGAGCCATGTCCATAACGTTTCACCCTGAAAGGAAATATTTTTATCAATTTAAGTTAAAAAAAAAAACAAAACATACCATAACCAACCAACCAAAAGAAGAGTCTGAAAGAGGTTTTTAATGATACATGCACCTGAATTATAATTACAACATCCACAAGAGCACATAGTAAGGTATAATTCTCATTAAAATCTGTCATTAAATTGGCATAGCCATCTTTTCCTCTGCTCTCTAGTCCTTTCGAAGTTGATCTACTCAATTTAGAAAAAAAAAATCTCCTCAGAACTTCAAAGTACTATGGATTTCACTGTTTTTGGCAAACTTGTGGCAGTTTTTCTTTGAATATCTTATTCAAAAGCACAGATATATTAAAACATACAACAGTCCTGTGTTGTATAAGAGAATGTGTATTGAGAGAACTAACAGCAAGTCAGAGTATCACACTATTTCTACTACATAAGCCCATAAACATTTAAAATTATAAAAAAAACCCACTATATATTCATATTACCTTAAACACTTCTATTAACTGCAAAGTATGCCATGCCTCTTCAAGAGAGATTAATCAAATGTCTCACTTTTGATCTAGAGAAAACGATTACAAATATTTCGTTGGACATACCTAGCCGGTGCAGAAGACCTTGGTTAGCCTCCCCCCACACCTCACTCCGGGATGTAGTTACAACACTGCGACTGTCACGGTAGCCGGTTTTCAGTGAAACGCTGGCATCCCTCAGCAGGTACGACAGGAAATCATTCTTCAATACCCTCCGTTTAAATTTTGACGAATTCCTGGAAACGTTGGAAGGGGCTGTAGCTCCTGGACGGTGCGGGAGCCGCCGGTCCCGGCAGGGTGCGGGGCGCCGGTGGGCTCGCAGGACGCCCGCCACAGTCAGGGGCCGAGATCCAGCTGCGGAGAACAGGCTCTTTCACGCTTTCTGTCAGGAAGCGAGCCACGGAAAGCGCTGACCTTTTACAACAGGTTTCACTCCCACTCCTAAACTGTCCCCAGCCCTCAGTTCGCCCAGATGGCACCATCTGGGGCTGAGCCACCTCCCAGCCACAAAAGCGGGTCGTCAGAGCGAAGTAGGAAGACCGGTGCAGCTCTACGAATCTCCTCCTCGGATTATCCCAGGCTGGCTGACGCCCTCCGCCCTGTTACACGGCTGACGGAGACAAGTCTCAGCCATCCTCCCCAGCCCTCCGCTGCCGCGGGCTGGGCTCAGCCTCCGCCCCAGGAAATCCTCCAAGTAAAGATTGCGAGATTTGAGGTGACTGGCTGTTGGTTGGTTGGTTTGGTTTGGTTTTTTTTGTTGGTTTGTGGTTTTTTGTGGTTTTTTGGGGGGTAGGACGGACAGCTGCAAACCTCCCTAGTCGAAGACACCGTACTCCTGGAAGACAAAGAGCCCCTCGAGACTATGGAGGCTGTTGGTGGGAGCATCTCAAGGACATCAGCTGATTTATTTGCTTATTCAATAGCCTGTTTTGGTAGCTTGGTCTGAGTTACCCAGACTGCCACCTGCCACTGAGATATTTGGCTCTGAAGCTTGAACTCACAGGTTTAGTCTCATTCAGCCCCTGAGTTATTACCTACAAACTTGAGAGCTACTAAGTAGTCCTGACATTTGATAGAGGTTACTTAACTTGTGGCTGTTCTGTGAACAGTGTATTGGCCAGGTTTGGTGTTTCTTATTCCTCTTGTTTCACTTGCACACCACAGCTAGAGCCAGAGCTTTTCAAAGCACAAGTTCCTCAAACGTAGTTTGTTAAACACAGAATAGGATATGGGCATTTCTAAGCCTGCACTGACACTTAGTTGTTTACTAATTACTGAAATAGATAGTAAGATAAAGTTCATTCTTATGTTCCTCCCAAAATAGGCAGGAATCAGACATTTTAGAATTATCAAGGTAGAAGTTCTCATTATTGTTAAAAATACATAATAAACACATTTGCTAGGCAAATTAAAAGTATTCTGCAAAAACTGTGGAGAATAATCCAGACATGTCCTGCCCCTTCCACCTTGTTTTTTTCATTCTACTCCTGGTACCTCTTTCATTCCACATTCTGGAAGTATTATATTTGCCAAATGGAAACGTTCAAACATCCTGCCCACCTTGTGGTGGCCACAGATAAGCAAAGATGAGAGATTACATCCTGCTATGCCTGCATGTACTGTCCTCCATCAAAGTAGTGCTGGCTGGAGGCACATTGCAACACTTCCAGACACTAAGCTGTTGGTACACAGAGAATTAATTCATTTGTGGTTCAGGAAAGTCAGCAGGATTTATGCAGTCAGCTAGTCTTTCTTCAGTCACCACTTATATCCATATATTCATTTTGGAAATGTTTCTCGAGACCTCCTTGCATTAGGGCAAACAATTTTATGCAAGATTTTTAGTTTCTGTTATTTTGCACCACCATCACACACCTATGAGTTAAATCTGATTATCATAAAGACAAGTGAGATGTTCCATGTGTTCTGCTACATTGTTCTAGAAGCACTGATTTAAAAAAAAATAATAACTTTTGAAGACTTCTTTCTGAGATATACACACTAAAAATTCTGCTGTATGCAGTTGTGGTCAGTTGGGGTTTTTTTGTTTCTTTCTCCAATTTTCATTATAATACTACTAATAGTAAAAAAATGTTTCCAGTAAAAATGTTTCTGGTATGAAAGACTTTGTTAAAACATTACCAAAATGAATAGGTAAAATGAGAACTATTCAATCATTTAGCTATTCACTGATTGATGTGAATCAGAATTCAGAAAAAAACATGCATAGTAAAGCTGAAGGAATATCAACTGAAATGGCTGGATTTCATGAGACAGCAAAAATACAAAGAACATGGCAGTTATAGGACAAAAATTGTAGGGAAGAGCAGAGAAGTGTCCAAGGAAAATGGACATTGACACTAGGCTACGTGAATATTCAATGTGGTCACCAGGGAGACCTCAAAGTAAACCAGGAAGCTTTTAATCTACACAAACAGTCAGAAGTATTTTGTTTCATAAAGCTCTAAGATAGAATGAGCTGCTGTAGTAAGCACAGGTAGGTCTCTACAGTTCATCAGTGCCATCTTTGAACACAGTTTGCAGCAGAGCAATGATCATGATGTGCCTTATCTTTCTGCAACTGAGGAGGTGTTCAAAGAAGACTGCTTCTGTGCAAAATAAGAGACTGAACTTGGGAATAGCATTTGGTATATGGCATTTTTCCAAAATGTATTTGCTAAATAAGGTATCACTGTAAGTCCTTTTGCCATTGGACTGTGGCATGCATCTGCTTTATTTATTTGATAAATGTTATACAGCCAATGAAGGGAGCACATTACCTGTGAAAAATAATTCAATCCTTTTGAGTTATGCTTAGAAAATCAGAGTGAGAGCATTCTCTTAGGTAGGGATAGGATGGAAGTTGCCTGGAATGAATTCAGACCATTGCCTTTCATTACTGCAAACCTCTTTTTTCATACATCATCCAGTAGTTTTGTTCCAGCATTCAAGATTACTTCCCCAGTTTACAATATTGACAACTTTCTCTTTTCACATATATTCATCTTGTTTGGGCGTGTGGCTGCATAAGCTTTTTTGTTTGGATCAAGAGAGCGTTTGTACCGCAAAACAATCCTGGAGCCTACGAAACAAATTCCTTTCAGATGAGGTAAAACTTGAAGATGAGCTCCAGCTACTTGGGCAATCTATCAACAGTGCCTGACAGCAGTTAGTCTGAAATAAAGTCTCTTGAAACATGCCTTGTGTGGACACCAAGTTCTCCACACCAACTGACATAACCTGCAAAACTCAGGGCAATGCTTGCCCTGATTTTTTTAAGACAAGTGACAATGAGTAGGAAATGTAATTGCTTGTTTTTTTAAGGAAATTATAGAATTCAGCAGTCTTGGGTTTTGCCTGCTCCTGGGAAATCATCCCTTCTGTGTGAAAAGAGACTAAGACACCATGTCTCTAAGATGCCTGGGAGTATATCTGGGGCAAACAGAAATAAGCCACAATCTTATTTTTTGGTTATGACCGCAGTATGTTTCATCATTTATCTTTCTCATCTGAAACTAAACAGGGCAAATAAAAACCTAACAGAGTTTTAAAGTCCTTTACATATATTTTTCTACCATTTTTACCTTAAGCTTTGTTGCACAAGATAATTTTGATGAAATCATTAAGATTATCATTGTATGTACACATTTTTAAAGGTACAAGAAAAAATTAACAAGAAATATAATTGCAGGTAATTACTTAAGCACAGTTAAAACTGCATAAAAATTACATATTATACAATTTGAGAACAGAAAATCTATTGAGGAAGAAATATTCAAAAACACTGTAATCAGCAGGGTATGCAAAACCTTTTGATTCAGAAAGATTAAAATAGGAGTGGAAAATTGGAAATTGAAAATACAAAAGTAATGTTGCAGTGTTTGGTTGCATCACATTAGTCTGTTGTTTTATTTCAATATCCTTATTGCCTTCATCATGGTAACTAATTATCATGGCAAGGCCAGAAGTGAAAGGCTGACTGGGAAGCCAGCTAACAAATGATGACAGCAGACGCTTGAAAATGGAAAGACCAAGATGAGGCAGTAGTTACTGTCATGGAGGGAACTTGCCATGGGGATTAGCCACTGCCTTCATATTGATATTTTTATTAGTCCTGTCAGCACAAAAAAATGGGAGTTTTCCTATATAATTTACCAATGGCACAACAGATGGAAGAGAAGTATGTGACCCTGCAGTATGGCTCATAATGATGTTTACCCATGAACTCCTCCTGCACTAAGAATTTACACCACTGTGTTATTGTTTTTAATTTTAAAAACAAAACTAACCACTTGCCATCCCCAGTCACAGAGTAAGGAAAAGAGTTGTGTGTCAAGATTCCTATGACTCACCAGTATATTATTTCTTCTAAATAAAAAAAAGAAATAGCAAATGCTGCCTTAATTCAGGTTAACTGTTTTCAAAAGAGTTAGAGAAGTACCAAAGGCACCTGTAGTGCACTGATTCAAGTGTTCATTATATATATATAGTGAGAAAGGCCCTCAGACTCCATGAGATATTGATTAAAATTTGGTTTGTTGGAGATAACCTGAGAAAGTAAAAAGAAATAGCACAGATAAATCTTATGTATCTTCAGATGTTGGGAACACAGAGCTGCATCAGCCAGATCTCTAGTCAGGGCATGCCACACCATGCAAATCCCATCTGTGGCAAATTTTGCAGGCACTGAAGAGTTTAGAGCAGTGGGAGCTGCCTAAAGGCTTTTCCATTCAGGTGAGCTGGCTCCAGGTGTACCTGCAGCCACGTGGTGCATGCAGCAGAGCTCAGGCCTGCACCTAATTGCATCAGCTCTCACTTGAGTCACTAACTTCTGCATGGACACATATCTGTTTAGGACTCTGACACCACTGATCAGGGTACTGGCCCACCTTCAGCTGAATGTTGTGTACTGTCCTGTCAATATATTAACAAATTCAAAGAGATTTCACATAACTACTATATACTAGGGGTATACTAGGGAAAATGAGATGCTTACTTTTCAGGAAAGGTTTAAGTTAATTTGGCTTGTCTAGGTTAAATTGAAGACAGAGTACAGCTACTGCCTATAAACAATACATCCAGTAGATACCAATGAACTACTTTGTTAGGATTAAGCATGATAAGTCACAGAGAGAACAATATAACTGACACCTGAGATGGTAATGAACTAGCCAAAGGGCAGAGAAAGCCCCTTCCTATCCTGTGTTTCCCAAGCTCAGGCTTTCTAGGTGCCATATATACACATTGCACAGGTATCCACAGCCAAGCTTTGGTCACAGACAAGGAAAAAAATGCATTTATAATCAAATACATATAAAACTGTCAGAAAATTGTGCCTAGGGGGTCAGAGATGAAGGCCTCTAAAAACTGGAGGACAGAGCAGGGGCTTACAGTTTAGATGATAAAAAGATTACATGGAAATAACCAAACAAAATTCTTTATGAGATCATCTCCTGCAAGTCTTCTCCTCTTCTTTGAGCTGCTTTGTTTGAATGTAGTATTGACCCAAAAAATCCCTAAGAGATCTAACAAAATTATCACAGACGAGGAAAGAAGAGGCGGAAGCATTGTTGTGACTAGAAACACCTGAATAATATTTTTTCAGATTAAATAAA